TGGAAATTGATATGATGAAGATAGTAGAATCTACAGATGTTAATACATGAAATTAATCAGTTTTGGGTTTTGAAATAGTACATACAGTGGATCTTGGTTTTGGGAAGGACAGAATATGTAAGCTTTGATCTTAGGGATGGCTGAAATATAATTAAGTTCCAATGATTTGGTTTACAGTTTTCGGCAAGCTAACTTGTTTCTTCTCCAAGTTTTAAAGTGTTGTAAAATGAAGGGGTATTTTATTTTCCCTTTGGGCTTGTATTAATGTGCTTATAGCCAGTTTTAACCAAATTTACCACTGCTTAAAATTGCTTTTGTTAGTATTAGAGCTATCGTACAGTTCTTTATTTTTTTTAATTTATTTATTGTGCGAATGGCATTTGGTAATCTGCAAATGGCATTTGGTATTTATTAGGGCTATCAAAAAAGTTCGTTGTTCGCTAATTTGGCTTGTTATGTAGCTTCATGTTTGGCTCGTTCGTTAAGTAAACGAGCCGAACAATTCTTTCTTCGCTCATGTTTGATTTGTTTTATAGTTTGAAATACAAAAATACATAATTATTTATACAAGAATATATAATATATATTATTTATATAATATATTATATGTATGTATGTATGTATAAAAGTTTACATCTAGTGTGGTAATGTGGTTTTATGCCTTCTTTTATATAGATTTAGTTAAGGTTTAAATTGAACATTTAACATCAATTTTTTTAATTAATTTTAATGAATCAATTTCGAACCAAATAAAAATACAATGCTCACGAGTCAAACACGAATACGAGCCGATTTCAAACACGAGCCATTTTAAACGAGACAAATATGAGCGCTCGTTTAAAACCCTATTTGCTATTAATTTGTATTCCTTGAAGTGATGAGAATTTTAATTGGTAGTCTTGGAGAGGAATTCTTAGATGTGCTAGAAAGTATTAGCTTAATAGGAACTCTTAGAATTTTTGTCTTGTGAAGATTTTAAAAGGTCTAATCGTATTTTATGGTTTTAAAGTTTTTAGTTTGAAAATCAGTCATAATGATTTGGCTTATCTTATTGTTGAGCACAGTTAGTTTAATATGAATCAATTGAGGTTGAATAAAGGCATGCTCATTTAAAAAACTTTGTGGTATGCCTGATGCAGATCCCCCAAATTTAAAATACCCACATCATTTCCTTCTACGTTTATTTGAGGTTGAATAAAGGCATAATCATTTAAAAAATTACATCAATATATAAGCTTAATTTGAAATTGATATTAAAATAATGACAACAAGAAACCTATTCTTAGTAAAAGTAAAATTCTGCTTAATTTGTATTTTTTTTTACTAAATAAACTAGTTTAATATGAATTTTTTGTTTAATAAAAAAAAAACAAAAAATAATATGTATCATGTAGTGCTTTCCATCAAGTAATTTGTCTTCAAATTCATCAATGAATGTTATATATTCTGAATTGATCACTCATAAATTATATTTGTTTTTTAATAAATTAACATTCTTGAGATCCATCGTAAATAATTCTTTTTTCATAATTTGTTCTGAAAATAAATTGAAAGTAATTGAAGGACATAAGTTCTGAGAGTCATTAATTTGAATCACATATTTCACAATCTTGCCTAAGAAAAACTAAGATATAAGTTGGGACAGAAATACCAAAAACAAAGGAATATCAACAACAATTTTTAGTAAACAATGAATCAAGTGGATTAATTGCACGTTTACATTTTATTTAGCAGAACAACAGATCAAAAGCTCACTCCCACTCTCTTTATTCCACAGCTTAGAACTTCAAAACAAAACCACAAATGCAGACCAAGGCGAGGGGAACATCAACTCATGATAATCCCCCAAAACCCTTATTAAACCAAACAAACAAACAAACAAACAAACAACCAAACACAATCCACACACAGAGAAAGCGAGAAGAGAGGAAGAAAAAACATACCGGATCAGAGAGCTCGCAATCAAGCCAGCGGCGGTGCCTGCTTAGCAATCTCGAGCACTTTCTGCCACGATTCCCTCTGCGATATCTGATCCCACCAGCGCTTCACGTGGGCATGCTTGCTAAAAGTCTCCCGCGTTTGGTCGATCTGCATCAGCAGCTGGGCATTGGGGAGGTGAGAGAGATCGGCGAGCGTGAACTTGTTTCCGGCGAGGAAGGTGTTATCGGCGAGCCTCTGGTCGTAGACTTTGAGGACCTTCTCGAGCTTCCTCTTGCTCTCCTCCAACGGAGGGGTTTCGACGCGGTTCAGATAATCGGGGAGGGTTGGAGCGATGGAGAGGTAGAAGACGAGCTCGGAGCTCGGCGGGTCGAATTTCTGGGCCTCTGTCTCCACCCATTGCTCGATCAGAGCTCTCTCCAGCGAGCCTTCCCCCAGTAGTTCTCGGTTGCCCTGGTTCTTGAATTTCTCCAGCACGTGCCGGCAGATTGCCCTTGACTCTGTTTTTTTATTAATTTATTAATTACTTTATTTTAGAATTCTGAAAAGTTAAATCGAATACATTTATCTTGATCCTAATTTATTTTGTTTTATATTGATGATTTTCAGTCACATATTAAAATTCAATTATATTTCATATTTTAAAAAAAATTAATTTTTTACTTAAATATTCATTATATTTGAATGAAATTTTAATTAAAAAATATATAAAAAAAAATTTGTATTTAAGACTTATAATTAAATTTTGGTCATGAAGGATGTATAGGAGTCGTTTTGGTATAGTGGTGCGGTGGCGGTGCTGTAACGAATATTGTCTGTTTTGGTAAATTGTATTTTGACAGTTTTTCCAAAAAACTGCTGCCGAAATCTGTGTTTTCCCAAGTTAGGTGCGATGACAAATTTATAGTTGTAGTTTGACTTTTTCAAAAAAAAAAAA